GAGAGAGAGCGACGTTGTGTCGAGCCCTTTAGACTGGGAGACCAACATAGAACTGGGTCTTAGACTGGGAGACCAACATAGAACTGGGTCTTAGACTGGGAGACCAACATATAACTGGGTCTTAGACTGGGAGACCAACATATAACTGGGTCTTAGACCGGGAGACCAACATAGAACTGGGTCTTAGACCGGGAGACCAACATATAACTTGGTCTTAGACTGGGAGACCAGCATAGAACTGGGTCTTAGACCGGGAGACCAACAAATAACTGGGTCTTAGTCTGGGACACCAATATAGAACTGGGTCTTAGACTGGGAGACCAACATATAACTGGGTCTTAGACCAGGAGACCAACATATAACTAGGTCTTAGACCGGGAGACCAACATATAACTGGGTCTTAGACCGGGAGACCAACAAATAATTTAGTTTTGCCTGCTAGTGGTGGTCAGAGGGTGAATGGCATCTCTGCCCCAGGGCAGCTGTGGCTACAATGTAGCTAACCACCATCAGTGTGTGAATGACTATAGATGGGTCAATGACTGTATGGATGGGTGAATGTCGGTATTGTAAAGAGCTTTAGAGTCCACAGGGTAAGAGCTCTATAATGCCAGGCTGTTCTGTGTTTTTGTTTCCAGACTTCTCCAGCTGATGGGAAGATCCTTCATTTTGGTCGAGTGAAGAACTCAGAAGTGGAACAGGTGAAGGGGGTTACCTACAGTCTTGAGAACTTCCTKGGTCCACAGATGAGGCAGATCGATGGTAAGGCCACACCTCCAGGCCCACAAGTGTTAACTTTTCTGACCAATCGGAGCTCCTCAGTGTTTCCATGTAACAATGATGTGAGATTTAAAGAAGCATCAATGTCTTTCTGCCCTCAGTCTCATCTTCCTCATCTTTCCGGGATCTCCTCTTGTCATCTCCTGATAATGACTTGTTTCACGTTGTTGTCTACCTGGCTCCAGGTGATTATCACTGTTTCCATTCTCCCACTGATTGGAATGTGGAGCTTCGACGTCACTTCCCAGGTAAGTGTGTTAGCCAGCTCATCTGTCTGCTTGGTGCCATGTGGTGGCTTCTCATGTCTGTGTCGTGTCCCTCATCAGGTTCGTTGATGTCTGTGAACCCTGGTGTGGCTCGTTGGATCAAAGAGCTCTTCTGCCTTAATGAGCGTGTAGTGCTCAGTGGCCAATGGCAGTACGGCTTCTTCTCGTTAACGGCAGTCGGAGCAACAAATGTGGGCTCCATCAGACTTTACTTTGACCAGGTGACTTTGTGTTTATCAGAATGTTCATACGAGGGAAACAGTTTTCAGGCTGTACAGCTCCACATGTTGGTGTGGTGGTGGGTGTTGGGCTGCTGTTAATCATGAAGTTATGCTGACAGTGTTGGCATTAAACTTTCAAAGTAACTTAGTTTTTATATAGAGACTATTCCAAAGGGCTTTATACTGTACAATCAAAGTTAGAATTGTGATGATTGCTGAAGGCTCTGGATGTGGTGGGCCTGTCAGGGTTGACACGTCTCTTACTGGGACAACTCCAACCCTAACCTAACTGGCCAGSGTGGTGGTTTCCAGTTTTAAAAACGGGGACCAGGAAGTGTGTTCTAACTCGTGGGATCACACTTCTCACCCTCCCCAAGAAAGTTTACTCCAAGGTGTTGGAAGGGAGGCTCCGATCGATTGTTGAACCTTGGATTCAAGAGGAGCAGTGTGGTCTCTGTCTTCAGACCAAGACCTTAACGTGCACTGGGGCAGTTCACAGCCCAGTGTGAAGCAGCTGGGATGAGAGTCRGTTCCTCTGAGTCTGAGGACATGGTTCTCAACAGGAACAGGGTGGACTGTCCCCTCCGGGTCAGGGGAGAGTCTCTGCTTCAACTGGAGGAGTTTCAGTATCTGGGTGTTTTGTTCCTGAGGGTAGCATGGGTCGACGGATTGGGGCCTCATCCTCAGTAATGAGGGCGTTGCTTCGGTCAGTCGTGGTGAAGAAAGAGCTGAGTCAAAAGACCAAGCTCTGGATTTACTGGTCTGTCTTCGTTCCAACCCTCACCTGTGGTCCTGAGGTGTGGATCATGACCCAAAGAACCAGATCCTGGATCCAAACAGCTGAAACAAGCTTCCTCTGTAGGGTGGGCGGGCTCAGCCTTAGACAGAGGGGGAGGGTCTCCATCATCCGGGGGGAGCTCAGAATAAAGTTGCTGCTGCTTCTCCACATAGAAAGAAGTCAGTTGAGGTGGTCCATCTGGAGCTTTAACCTGAACAGATTTGTGGACAAATGATTGGTGTGGCTCCACCCACTCACCTTTTCTTGGTTTTCATCCTTAGGAGTTGCAGACCAACTGTCCTTTCTACAGCAAAGGATCCTTCCAGGATCGCAGCTACGTGGCCACAAGCAACCAGGTAAAGGGGGCTGCAGTTGAAGGGGGCGTGGCTTTACAGAAAGGTGAGCCTGTGGGCGAGTTTAACCTTGGCTCCACCATCGTTCTGCTCTTTGAGGCACCCAAAGACTTCAGCTTCAACCTTCATCCTGGACAGCGAATCAAAGTGGGGGAGGGCCTTGGCAGCCTGTGATTGGCTGCAGACTCAAGGGGCGGAGCATTGTGGAGGTGATAAAAGGACGTATGGACTTCTAGAATGTGTTGTGCCTCAGAAAGGAAAAAATGCCAAATGTGTTTCTAACTGAGAAAATGTTCTGTCATCAGTTTTATTTTGAAAATCTGACTCAGGTAGAACACCTGTTAGCATGAAAACAGGAACTTTGTTCCTTATTTTATCTACTTCTGTAAAATATGTAAATGTTAAAATTAATAAATTTTTACTTTCATCAGTTTTCAGTCTAATTGACTTTTTTGTGCAGCTGAAGGCAGGAATCACCATGGCAACCAGTGACTCAGCAGATTCTTCTATTTTTACCCAGCATGCTTTTCTTCCCCTTGTTTCCATGAAGGCAGCCCTCACAGATCCTTCATGTCGTGTCTAATCTTTGTTTACAGTTGTTCAGCTCTGTTAAGCACTTCGTGATGTTTGGTTGTGAAAGGTGTTTTATAAAAAATGTTTACTTACTTTCAAAGATGGTTAAAACTGCTAAAACTGCTGCATCAGCTTGAAGTTCCAGCTGCTGCTCCTCAGTAAAGCCTGCCCATGGTGTAGTTGACTTCTCCACTGGTCCTGATGGAGCTGCAGAAATGAGGGTCCACCTGCCCACCGGCACTGTAGGCAGCCTTGTTCCCCTGATGGGACCATCTGCTGGGCCGTCAGATCTYGTTGCATAGAGCCTACACTGCCTGTCACTTCCTGGATTTCAGCTATCCAAGTTCCCACAAATAGCTTGAAGTTACAGGAATGTGAGGATGGTTGTAGAGTCCGTCCACAGCCCGGCTGAACTCTGAGCAGCAGGCTGGCAGGTGGAGCTGAGTCAAGCCTGCATAGTTCTGGGCAGGACCAGGGGTTGGATTTATAAAACTGGCGTACGCACAATTTGAGCCCAGAAACTTRCGTACGCCACTTTTTACACCAAGGTTGTGATTTATAAAATCCAAACTTGATGTGAAAATGTGCCTCACAGATCTGACCCTCACAGATCTGACCCTCACAGATCTGACCCTCACAGCTCTGACCCTCACAGCTCTGACCCTCACAGATCTGACCCTCACAGATCTGACCCTCACAGATCTGACCCTCAGAGATCTGACCCTCACAGGTCTGACCCTCAGAGATCTGACCCTCACAGATCTGACCCTCACAGATCTGACCCTCACAGCTCTGACCCTCACAGATCTGACCCTCACAGATCTGACCCTCACAGGTCTGACCCTCACAGATCTGACCCTCACAGATCTGACCCTCACAGATCTGACCCTCACAGCTCTGACCCTCACAGATCTGACCCTCACAGATCTGACCCTCACAGGTCTGACCCTCACAGATCTGACCCTCACAGGTCTGACCCTCACAGGTCTGACCCTCACAGATCTGACCCTCACAGGTCTGACCCTCACAGATCTGACCCTCACAGGTCTGACCCTCACAGGTCTGACCCTCACAGATCTGACCCTCACAGGTCTGACCCTCACAGATCTGACCCAGTTTACACTCATTTTGGAGACGTGAAACTG